CGTCCCTTCCCTCCGTCTTATCCCTCCCCTCCGTCTTATACCTGACCTCCGTCCTTCCCTTCCGCCTTATACCTGACCTCCGTCCTTCCCTTCCGCCTTATACCTGACCTCCGTCCTTCCCTTCCGTCCTATACCTGACCTCCGGCCTTCCCTTCCGCCTTATACCTGACCTCTGTCCCTCCCTTCCATCTTATACCTGACCTCCGGCCTTCCCTCCAGGGAGCGCGGTGCAGCGCCCCCACTCTCACAGGACGCAATGCAGCGCCCCCGCTCTCTCACAGTCTTGCACAGTCGTACCGGCTCCTCTCCTGGACTGGACCAGAACCAGAACCAGGGAAGGCAGATTCATCTTTTCTCTGTTCTCTCCCTCCCTCCAGCTCGGTGTGGTGGTCCCTGCACAGGCTCTGAATATCCCAGAGGAACCAATCACAACATTTGGAGAATTTTGGTGTGCTTGAATAGAGAATCACCAGCACAAAATCGGAGGCCCACAGCTTCATTTGTAAAGGGAATTGGTGGCCTTGATTTGACACTTGTAGTGTAGGGACTGTCATATAATGGACAGGGACTGCTGACGCTTGTAGTGCCCTCACATTCAGAACAGTCATATAATTATATGACAGTCCTGGTGTCCTGTGTATAAGGGCACTACAAATGTAAGAAGTCCCTGTCCATTACATTGACAGGGACTGCTGACACTTGTAGTCCCCTCACACATAGTCCCGGATGCACACAGCGGGACATACCGTATCCCACGAGACCAGAGCTGAGGGGAAACCTGCGGCCCAGGAGGGAGGCGCCGGGTCCTCGCAGGGCGGCCGGCCGGCCGAATGTGTAATACAGATTTTTAGGGCACCTCTACAGGGAGAAATACGGGGGCGCCATTTTTACCCTTCTGCAAATCGGGGGAACCTGTAGTCGGGCTTTAAGGGGTGATATTTCCTCTCCGCATGACTCCTCTTCTGGATTGCAGGTGAACGGCATAGACACGGTCAGGGTACCGATGGACGTGGTGCAGTTTGATGGACCTCGCAGCAAACGTTATCTCATCTGGTTGGCCAAACAAGCGGCAGTGGAAAATTCAGCCACCGGGGGCAGCAAAGCACCAGAATCCACAGAGCCGCCACCAGAGGGCAGCAACGCACCGCAACCCACATCCACAGAGCCGCCACCAGAGGGCAGCAACGCACCGCAATCCACATCCACTGAGCCGCCACCTGAGGGCAGCAATGCACCGCGATCCACAGAGCCGCCACCAGAGGGCAGCAACGCACCACAATCCACCTCCAGCTGAACAGGCGGATTGATGAACACAGCGGTAATCGGGCGGATTGTTTGTGTAAGGCGGGTACGCGGCAGATATCTACTACGGACGCCAGCGAGGGCGGCGAGCCCTTTTTTCTTTCTCTTTATTTTGATTTGTAATAAATTCACCTCCATTTTAGAAGCGACTATTTGATGTGCGTATTCGAGCACTGGCGGGTGTTCGTGGGGAAGGCCATGGTGTCACGTGACACCCCCCATCGATGACGTGGCAGCCTCCGATTGGTTGCTCCGAATTGAGATTCAGATGTTGGCAATTTTCTGCGCTGCGAAGCCGAGCGGGGCATTGTTGTAAGACGCTGAAATGGAGTTGAGGAAGTGTAGAAAGTCGCGCACAGCGTGGCACCTCCGACACCAGAGCCAAGAATAGCTCACAGGCAGAAATTGTGCATTTTGTGCTTCTATAGAAGAGCCGCCACCTGCCGA